CCACTCCTCAGGATCAATCTTATGCTGATTGAGGTATTGAAGCAAGCTGTACATGCGACATAGGGGAAATCCCAACAACAAATCTGGACTCACATTCTCAATTAACTCTGATGCGCTGTCCTTCCGCTCCTTCACATTAAAATCCCATGCAACCCCTTGGTCATCACAGGTTGTCAAGTCCAATGCGAGACCTTGTCCAAGCGCTCTCCTCTGCGCATAGTCTGTCAACCTTGGCGGAGAGAAAAGCTCGATCAACACTGGACTGCTGAGACTGTAGGCCACCTTCACGGTCAAAGCCCCTGTCTGTAAGAGGATCCTTCGAGCCTCCACTTCCTCGTCAAGCATGAGCTCTGCTGTCTCATCAAGACTGACCTCTCTTCTCACAAGCTCAAATTCTTGGCTTCGATCAAGTGATCCAACGTCCATGACAATCGATTCATCAAGATCATCCACCTCCACCACAACAGGCCCTTCACCCACCTCCACCACTGGTGCAACTGATAGACCAGGGAAATGAAGCGAGGGTTGTCCTCCTGGAAGCAACTCGACCGGACTCTGATCTGGCGGCCGCAAACCTGAAGACTCGGTACCTGGAGATGGCCCAAGAATTCTATCAAGCTCTGTGATTTCTTCATCTTCTGATTTCCTCAATGTCGCCTTCTTCACATCTGCAAGTTTGCCCTCATCAAGCTTGCGTTTCCTTTCGTCCTCTCTGTTCTTGTAAGCGACAATGTATTTCTCTGCACGTTCATGAACTCTCTCAACTCTGGCTTTACCCTCTTCTGTTTTGCTCAACTCATTTGCAATTCACGCCTTGCAAACTCTGCTGCGCTGACGACGAGCAAGTCCACTTTGAGCTGCCAAGCAACCATCACACCCCTCAGTGTATCCGAACTGCTGCAACTCAACGTCACGACGAATGTAGAGACCTCTTGGCACATAGTCCCCACCCTTCACTTTCACCACTGGCTCGGGCATCTTTGGCGCATCCGCCAACTCAATCTCCACTGGCTGCAATGGCCCCCGATCTGGAGCTGCAGGTGGCTTCAATTGCCAAGGCAACCCAATCAGAGATTCCAATGCAGACTTCGTCCATTGCTCGTCTCTGGGCTTTCTCTTCACACTCCAAGCTCGCTCAACTCCTCGATCAGTTTCAATCCACTTCAAGGCTGTGCCCTCCTGCAAACCCAGATACACCCCATCTTCAAAACGAGGCGCGATCTTGGCGGGATTCCGCTCTCCTTTCAATCTCTGAAAAAGAACGCATTCCCCAAATGCAGGAAGCTTCAACTGCCATCTTTTCCCTGTCGATCTTTCATAAGGAGTCCTGCCATCTTGTCCTCTACTGAATCGAGGTAGCAAAGTCCCAGCATAGTCAATCAACCAAGGCAAGATTGGATGTCGAGAAGATATGTCGGTCCCATAGTTAGCCTCCAGCCTCCAAAGCTGACTTCAAGGTACGACACATTCCCTGGAGCTTACCCACTGCATTCTCAATGGGTCCATTGGTCTCACTCCTTTGACAGCATCCTCAAAGCCGATCCCAGAAAGTCTCGCCTGAACCTCCAAAGACCGTTCTGTATCAGTCTTCAACACTGCATCTTGCAAGCCCAAACAACGAAGCAACTTGACAACAATGGTCACCGGATACTGATGATCTGAAACCCCTTTGCACGGCATGGCCACTGAAAAAGTTCTTTGTGACTTCTCCTCCAAGATTGCCAGGAGAGGTAAACACTCCTCCTCCCGCCGTCCAAGATAAAAGTAGTCCATGCTCACCCGAGGCCTCCCCCTTGCTTTGTCGTCAGCGTCTTCTCTCACTCGATGATGTGCTAGCGCTCGTCCACGGCCTCTTACACAATGATTGCACCAACTCCGATATGGCAGATGAGTAACATTGCGCTCATCCACCTCCTGTGCACTTGGCTTCAAGGGTGAACTCTGGGCGATCTTCTCGATCTCCTCACCCCCGCTCAATTCTCCATGCAACTCCTCATCAACACCTCCCGCGGGTGCCTCATAGTCCCCCCAGCCCTCTGGGAAATAGTCACTGGTGTCTATGTTCAAGCTCATAGGACCTGCACCATAAACATCAGAACTTGGATGCGCTGCTAATTCATTGGCCTCATCACGAGCCGCTGTTGTCTCCTCCTCGGCCTCCTCCACGTTCACTGCATGAATGAGGAATGAAGAACGACCGATCAGGACTTACAGCATAGTCTGGACTCACCTCTAGATTGCTGGAGGCGCAATCCACGGTGCCGGCCCGCTGAAACCCTCACGAGAAGGATGCACAACATGCATCCTCTGCACATAGACACCTTCCTCCTGATGTAGTTGCATCCGCTCTCCTGTCTCAATTTCCTCAATCCAGCTATCCTCCCAATAGGGTGCCAACATAATCCGATGACCACGATTGGCAACTTGAGCGGCCGACATGAGGACCTTGTGTACCTGAGCAATGCTGAATTGTGTTCCCCTCACCTTTCCTTCTTCTGTCACGATGAGAGGTTTCACTCGATACAACTCTGGAACAATCTCTCCATTTGCACTCAGGAAACTCACACCGTCAACTGGGGCCAATTGCTCATGCTCTGCAAAAGCCTCTGCTGGGGCAACTGACGCTGCGGCTCCTGAATCAACTGTCACTGTCAATGGACATGCACCTTGAAGATACTGCTCAATGCGACGCTCCGTCTCATCAAAACGACCCTGCTCTGCATCCGCCACAATGCGCCTTGCAATGGCCTGCGCCCTGCTCAATGCACACAAGCGTTTGATGGTCAAACTCCCGGCGCTCACTGGAGGCTTTGGCACTGCACTGGATGCCGCACCTGGCGATGCTGGGGACGATGGAGTGGAAACCTGAACAACGGGCGGACTGGGCGCCGACGATGACGAAGCTCCTGTCAATCTCAACCGCTGAAACTCCTCCACAGCAGCCTTGGCATAATTCGACTGCGACTGAGACAGCAAAGGTGAGGTCTCCTTCTCAACTGCGTTCAAGGGCTTGGGACGGCTCCAACACTGATCTTTGTAATGGCCGGTCTTCCCACAGTTGTGACAGACAGGCTTGGCTTTTCCTCCACCTTTCTTCCCTTCAAAGCCTTTGCCTTTCCCTTTGCCCTTGCCGCCATCATGGATCTTACCTTTCCTTTCCTCCATCCTTACCTCCTTTGCCTTTGCCCTTCTTGCAATCCTTCTGCATATGAGGACCTCCACAAATGTAACAACCACCTCCCTTGCTCACCCCAACTGACCCAACATCCATTGTTGTTGATGCCACTGGTGCCACCTGCTCAATGTAACTCATAACTTCCTCACGGAGTTCAAGGTATGTGGTGTATCTTGCGGCGTTCATATGCAAGTGCTGTTTCAAGGCATTCGGAACCATGTGAACTAATGCAGCCATCTTCATAGCATCAGAGACACGGTCAGCTCCCGGCCTCGACTCATACGGCGCAATCAGGTTCTCCCAACTCACCAACTCTGCCGCCAATCTGTCAATGCTGATCGCTGCCGACGTGTTCGTGATCTTCATAAGGTCAGCTCTCTGACGGCCAATGGTGACCGGGTTCAACCGGATCTGAAGCAACCTGAATGCCTCAAAGCCGTTGGGCCTTTTCGCGTGTCGCACCAAACTCCTGGCTTCACCCAATGTGTCTGTAGTCAGCATGGCATAAACATTTGTATCTGCATACTGTACCAACAATGGGTCCAAGTGAGGAAAATGCAACAAAACATCGCCTTGCGTCATGGGTGTCTTCTGTTGTGATGTTGCAATCCATTCCAACACTTCGTAAATGCCAGGCATGTTTGAATCGCTCAATGTAATGATACTGTCTGCCCAATCCAAGAAACTGCTTGTCCCATCCGTCGGATTGAACACTCCCGGCTTGCCCAACTGCTTACTGTCAACTCCACCCTGTTGAATTGCATATGCAACAGCCGGACTTGTACGAATACCACCCGCCAAAACCAGGGCCTCCAATGTTGCCAGTTCCTCCAATGTTGAACACTTGAGGCCCACCAACATTTCCAACCCCATTCGGCGTCACACCACCAGCAACCTGTCCAGCAGCTGCGGGTGACCCTGCAGGCACAGGAGGGGGGTTGCGCGCCGGCGACTGTCCACCCGGCGACTGATACCCGGGCGGTGAAGCCCCTGACGCTGATGCAGCTCCTGAAACCGGTGGTGCTAACTGGACCTGTTGTTGCTGAACTTGTTGAAGCGCCTGACCCATCTGCTGCATCTGCTCCTGCAATGTGGTCAAGATCGTTCCAACCTGCACCAACTGGTCATGACTCTGCTGTTGTTCCTGTTGAAACCCAGCCTGAACTTGAGTCACCACCTCATGCGCAACTTGCTCTGTGACAATTTGTGTATTCTGAACTGCACTCCCCGTCCCTTGCACTGCCTGACTCAATGCTTCGATCTGCTGTCGCTGATGTTGCTGTTCCTGTATCATCTGTTGCAATGTATTGGTCAGGGCTCCAAGATCTGCACCACCCGATCCGTCCGCCATGATCAAGTGATCAAACCCAACAACAATTGCAAGAAACAAAATCAACACAACTACTGTCTGGACCCCAATCCACTTCCAATGCAACCAATACGACTCACCCAAAACTACCGGTCCGGCTGAGAGTTCACGCTCTAAGGGACGCGGGCTCCGCACTGCCGGCTCCCTCATGCCATGGCTGCCGGTTGTTTGAGCGACCCAGCTCCGCTACCATGCGAAACTCTTTGAGTCCTTTTCTCGCGGCTTCGGACGGAATAGATACTATACATGATCATAGCCATAAGGCCGGTGAACCTCTGACACTTCCCCATTCAAAAATAATTTTGTGCATACAGTCGAGGGAAGACGTTGAGCACTTGGCAAAGGATGGAGCAAGTCCACAAACACTATGTTTGTATTATATATCATAATATATCCATCAAAACTTGTTGTTTTAGAATTTTAGAACATGTCCTTTTGGCACGTTGGCCTCCTCTGTCAACCCTCTTCCAGGCCTTGTGGCTTCCGATTTACCACCTGCATCACCTAAATGGGACCGGTCGGTGCAAACTAGTCTCAAAACTTAGCGGAAAAGTTTCCGAAGACTGACAGCCAAAAGGGCACTGCTTCGATTCTGGTCATGCAATGGCAAAGGTCTAGGCTTCGCTTTTGCTCGCTCTCTGCCATTGCCGCTGTGGCTTAAAACCCTAACTTGATTCTTTGCTATCGACGGAAAGTAGCATAGTGGAAACGATCGACCAATTTCTAAGTCCAGGGATAGCCATTTCCACTTGCTATTCTGACTTCATGGCCTCCTGCACATGCTCCCAGTTCTGCATGCGGAGAACGTCTGCTCGATCCACGATGCATACTTCGATGGATGAGAGGAAGTCGAACTCACGCCTCCTGTTCAGGACAATGATCGGACCAAACAAATTCTCGTGATTTCTCGGGTGCGATGTGGGTTGAGAACCCCATGTCCACATTGGAGAATCCCAAATACTATCAGATACTGTACATCGCCATGGATCATGATCGGGTGCACCTTGCATCATGAATCACATCTGCAAGCAGGTGGTACCGTAGAATACAGTGAGGATACTAAATTAAATGATATTAAATGTCAGTATGCGAAAATATATAAAAACGAAGATCTGGACGGAATTGCACACTATGAATGTGCTCCTCTCACCCTCGGCTCCAGTGATTTGACGTAGACCTAGTGGTGAGCCTCAGCACAATCCGATTTGCTGAAATCAGAAAGTCAACAAACATCTTCAGCCCAACTTTGCCAACTGTAGGCATTTGAGGTTGCTTTTGGATTTCGCACTATCTGTGACAAAAGCCGCGAGCAATGATTCTGAGTTTGCGTCAAATCAAAATGTCGGCCTTGTCAAATGGGGCATAAAGCCGAACTCCCTGAAGCGAGTGAAGTTGCAGGTTCCGATGCATCAACAAACATCTCTGCGGGGCCTTCTTCCACAGGGTTACTCCAATTCGGAATCGATCATCGCTGTTTCCTGCGCTAACTAATTGGAACGACTGAATCTGAGTGAGCATGTAGTGAATGCAAACAGGCAGTGCATAGCCAACACAGAGCATTAGAGATACCACCCAAGAATTGGTCACCATGAGTCACGCATCTGCTTACAGTGCGACGCTCTGGATGCTTTGCTCGAGCAAGAAGAACGCAAGTTCGGCTTCTGCAAGGTGTATATAAATAAAATTCAAAGCAAACCTTAGAGTGCTGACCAGAAAGTGGAAAAAGCTGGCGCAGTGTGAGCTGCTCACAAAAGGGATAAACATGAGCAAGCACATACTAACACGAAAAGACAAAGTCGCTCGCGCCGAAGGTGCCGAGGGCGTTGTGGAGGCTCGAAGCGCTGTGCTTTACACTTTTGGAAGCTTGACAAAAATTGGACCAGCCGTTGGCGATGCCGGATATGCCGGCCGGTGCAAAAGGCATTATCGACACCATGGGCGCATGTGCGACCCGGGGGACTGCATTATTGACATCGTGGGTGTGTTCGTCCGTATGTCCTGCCCGACTGAGACATAGACTGACAGACCGAGATAGACAGACCGATACAGACACACTGAGACAGACAGACCGAAACAGATACAGATCAGACCGAGACCGAGACCGAGACAGACCGAGATAGACAGGCCGAGACCAAGACAGACCGACCGAGACAAACAATTGACATTGTGCGTGACCGAGACAGACGGACTGACAGACCACGCTTGAGCCCGGTTAACATGTCCTCCCGGCTCCGAGAGCACAATTTGCTAGTAGCGCAGGTTGCTGCCGAGCCGGTAGGGTGCTAATGACATGCTTTTCCCATGTATGTCTGGATGTGTGTTTGCATGTATGTCTGTCTGTATGCATGGATGGATGTCTATGTCTAGTCTAGTATGTGTGTGTGTATATGTTTTCCCTTTACTCTGTGCGGGCGGCTTCGACCGCGAAGCGGTGTGAATATACACCAAAATGAAACGATTCGGACCTCGACTGATTGCCCTGGAGAGATTTTGAAGGGGTGCGGTAAAGAGTGACCTTCAAAACCAGTCAGCGCCCCGGCAATGTCTTCATTTATATATATATCTTTACGCTCTGCTTGATGCCTTGTACACCACAATTCAGACAATAGTGTGGAGCACCAACTACTTAAAGAGTACTTACAATTTACAATAAACAAAGAACAATGCAGGCTGCCCAAAACAAGGACGCCATATTGAACTCAGAGACCATGGCAAAAGGACATATTGAGCTGAAAGAAAAAAGAAAGACTTACTTGGGCGGATTAGCAAAGGGCAGCAAATGGCAGTAGTTACTCCAGTTCAAGGGTTTGATAATCCAGTATTCCAGAGTGTCCTCCAAACAGGTGCTGATAGTCCTGTGGCTTTGACACCTCAGCATTGCATGGACGTCCGCCACGTCACCAAAAAAGAATATTCTCAAGAGTTTAAAGCTAACTTCCATCCTGGTCAGCAGGAGGTTAGCATCAATCAATTCAGCTGGGAGCTTCTTCTAACTGTGCTGAGGGGCTAGTGACCCATCTTCTTCACCACCAAACTCCTCCTCAAAGCGCTGCATGTGTGCTACCTCAGTCACGTGCCAAAATATCTGGAGTGATTGATCCTGGCTCAACTATGTTCGAGGTTAGGAGAGTCAGCACGTCCAGCCTGCTTCTTGGCTGGCATTAACGCAAGCGTCAACTTGACCTGGTCTTTGACGGTCTTCCACTCGCATTAGGACAAATACAGGAAACATCTTCTCAAGGATGGCTGGGCTTCCCTGCAACCTCGAAGCACACAGATCTGAACGGGCATAGGACCAACACCTTAGTTGCACAATGTTGCACATCCAAACTGCTTGTACATACAATGATAGCATCCGGTGGCACACCTAATCTTGCTCTCAAGAACAAATAGCTCAACCGTGTACACTCATAAGATCTACGAGTAGCAATGAATGCAACGTAATGCAGTAGTTTGGAACTCCTGGGTTACAAGCCCGTCCCCGAGTGAAGCCTTGCTGTGAGTCATTACCTGCAGCTTCATTGCTGTGTTTCGACAGCGGACACACCGTGAAGGCACCTCGACCACCATCTTCGCCTCGTGCCTTGCAGCTTCATGGCGTTGAAAGTAGCAAGAAGCTACTAGCAGGGGCATCGCTACTAGTAGCCAAGGGCATTACTACCAGTAGCAAGAAGCTACAAGTAACAAGGTATAAGGCGAACAAAATACGGCCTTCCGCACATGGTCGACAATGTGCAAGGCATACAGTGAACGCACCGCCTGAAACAGGCAAGGCATGCCGGATTTTCAATTTCACCTTATGGACCCCAAATACCCCAAGCAAAACGTGTCTTGCTCAGTGCTGAGTCTTCTTTGTGCATTTTTGTTGGACTGTTAGTGGAGTTTGTTTAGTGTTTGTTCTTATTGTTTTGTTTTAATACTCGTGTTTTTGTTACCTGCATTTGCTTTTACCTGTGGAAACATCATTTCCAAACAACCAGAAAACCCTTGGGGAAGCGCAGAGTCTAGTGTGTATCGCTGAAAGAACATCGACACTAACGACTACCATTCAGTACGCATCTCCCTATGCTGGGGAGTAAGTCTTGGCACCCTAAATGTATGTTTATCGGATCGAGCAGAGACTTTGCTCCTAGTAACAAGTGCCACGCTAGTAGTAACAAGTGCCTTACTAGTAGTAACAAACAGCTATTAAACATGGATTTCACTACAATTGTGGCGGATCACGTTCTCACATCAACGTGCTTAAATTGAAAGCGGCTCAGAAGTGCAAGTAATTACATGCTTTCACCCTATGGTGATCAACATTCTACAACATCCTTATACATCCTTTGGAGTTGGACAACAGCACCTACAAGACCCAAAAGGCGACTGCAAGACTCAAATAGATCGCACTCAGCGACATGCGCCAGGATACCTTGATGCCTTTCAAAAGGAGAGCAAGCCAAGCTCTCTGCATCACGTCTCAAACTCATGCTCTCACGGACTCCTACCCGCCACCTTCGCATTCAAATGATTGTGCTGCGGGAAGGACACATCCAGGTAGGCATGGAGACACAGGAAGAATGCGCCTTCTTCCATCCTGAATATCAACTTGACCCGTATCGGCCCGTATCGTGTCAACAGTCAACCCACTCCGATGATTACCAATGATCTCCAATATCTAAAGGCTTGCAAGATCTTGCAAGTATTTTTCTGCGGCACGCAGCAGTTGATTGTGACTCTTAGGCTGGCAAATTCCATTCTCCAAGCAGCACAAAGGCTTCAGCTTGGACTTGCCATTGCTGAGCAAGGCGGATGGCAAGTGCCGCAACTGACTTGGACTTCCAGTTGCGGAGCGATTCTAAGATGGCACAAATTCGTACATGTTGGATGGTTCTCATGGGGCACACTTCTGATTTAGGACACATTTAGGACACAAACATTATTAGAACATTCGACGACATTCTTAACTTGAGGCCCCAGTCGACGCTCCATGGGCTATTTGCATGTCGTGAAAGCCCGTCTTGGGCCTGATCTAAGACAAACACCAAGAGGTCGTCTCCTTACGTCACGCCTCACTTTCATCCTGCCTGGAATGCGACTTTGGAAGGATGATTTCACCCTCTACGAGTTCCTAGACTCTAGAATAAGTTGCCAATTTGAATCCAATACACGGTACTGTAATACACTTGCAGGATCATGGTAAACCAAAAAACATGTGTTCGTTCCAAGCTGCAGGGCGGTAGACAGGCCATTGTGCATAGATGCCTGACATCCCAAAGCAAACAGCAAAAGGCGCATCCCACAAATAGCATAACTTGACTTTGGACTTCGGACCTCCAAATGCAGCCACTCTCTTGTAAATACAGGCAAGCAAAAGCGATACCGTGGAGTGCATTGATCTATAGTCATCTGCTCTCTCTCTCTCTCTATCTCTCTCTCTCTCTCTCGCGCTGACTCAGGTGTTGTCCAGCAAACTTCCTCCTAGAAATCATCCAATTGCCCTTTTCAACGGCCATGTTGCGCTCTCTTGAAAAGACACAGGTTGTTTTGCAAGGGCCATAGACAAACTGCACAAGTAGTGTGTATCCACATGTATCCACATGTGCATGCCTTTCGCGGTCCTATCGCCGGCCTTTCGTGGACTTGTGTTTTCCTTTGCGAAATCCTTGGGTAAGTTAAAGGTTCCTTAAAGTTTCTTAGACTGCGTTGTCGAACAACGCCCATTTTGATGTGTCTTGAGAAAGACTGGGGAACAAACAGGGTCCCAGTCGGTTTGAGAGCGCAACTACCATACCATAAACTAGACACACATATACTATTAATAATTACACCTAACATGTGGCAGTTGTGTCATATCCTCCCGGCCTGCCCCAGGTGTTGTTATTGGTGAGTTGCGTGAAGCATTCTTCGAGGCCTGACGACAGTGCCACCACCATCAGGATTCAATGGGCCAATCACAATACAAACCTCCGTCACGTTCAGCGGTTCTCTTTAACTTTTGCACAGACTTGTATATATATACCTGTTTAGACTGTGTCAAGACCTTGTATTGCTTCTAGGACTGTCCCGAAACAGCACTGATGCTTTAAATAGACAACAAGGCAAATGCCTGGCACGAAGTCAAGGGCTAAAAGGAAAACTGGCTTGGCAAATAGGCAGAATATGGCTGAATAGTTCTCAGGATCTATGCCCCAAAATGGCCCCGCAAACGGCCTCCTTGCTTCCCTTTCTGGATTGATGCCTTTGATTCAGCTCCTGATTGGTCCGCATGAGTTGCTGATTCTCCTGCATCACAGACTGTGGGCAACTTTCACAACTTTCTGACTGGCAACTTTCTACCGATCCCAACTCATTGAACATCTACGCCCATTTCGAGTGAGCATTCAAGTGAGTACAAGTGGCTACAAGTGACAAGTAAATTGAAAGGGTCCTCATGAAGGCGGTGAAGAATATCTGTGATAGCTTTTGAGGACATTTGACCGCTGGCAGCAGGACCTTTCCACTGCAAAAACAGGACACAACAATCAACAAACTGA